GCTATGCTGTGAGTCGCGAGGCACTGCGCCCGATGCCAAGGATTTCTGACATTTCCCAGATATCGTGATTTCCGGGACTGCAGATATTTGGACTCCTCCCATGACCGAGATGCAGGATGCTGGCAGTATTCAAAACTGTTCTTGGGACATAATGTGCACACTGTGCATTTCGACGCGCGTGTAGTGTATGTAGCTTCTACTGTAGTGAGCGGATGAAGATGACGAATGATCAACTTGAGCACCTGCTGTTGTGCATTTGGTATCGAGCTCAGTTCTCCTGAAGTTATGTATGAATCTTGAGCTCTCCCGTAATCGTCAAATACAGCTCCTGTCGCACTGTACATTGCCTCTAACTTAGGGCAAGGAGAGAGACGCTGCCGTTGAAAGCTATGCATGGACGCCTTCAAACACGGCCCAGAGCTCACTTCTCCACGCGCTTTCGCATGTCACATTCGCTCCATATGTTTCTTGCAATGTACCTTGCGAACGGGTCGCCATGGCGATCTCCGGCAGGTTTTGTCTTTTTCAACGGGAAGAAGATCCGCTTCTGGAGAGCAATGTACAGTGTGAGCGCGACTGTGAGCTTTGGCGTCCGCACAGTGCCACAGGGATAAGAGCCGAGTCGTACGCATCTGGTAGTAATGAAGGTCAGCTGATCTAAGTTGACTTCTGCGAGATAAGGCGAGATTTTTACTGCAACGACTTGCTGGCTGGTGGCCGAACGGTCGATCTGTTCATCGCCGGCGGTCATTGTGGCCATCAGAGTCGCGGGTATGTTCTGCTTCTGACCCGACAGACAGAGCCTAATAACTCTCCATATCGTGGCTTCAACCGGGCAGCCACTTTTCCTACAGCAGGAATCTGCACCAAAAGTCACAAAGAGGCGTTTGAAGCAGTGAATAAATCGGTCTTTGTAGTTTTGACTGGGTTGCGGAAAGCAAATTGTGGATGCTTGGCGTCCTCAGCTGCTGACGTGTGAGGAAGGGTCGTTCCGAACTTGGCCAGAGGCGGGTCCTGCACGACGTTCGGGTATTTGCGCCGTCATAACACATGCAGCCGCCGTCCTCGGAGCAAGATGCGTGCTCCTTATACGATGCTTTTTACTGGGGAGACAAAATCTTTCACTATTGACAAATGCAAGGTTCCCCGCCTTTTCACAGACGAACAGATTCAGAGTGTCGAAGTAGACTAACATGCTGCAGCCACCACAATCATGCGACGACTGCAGGACGTGTACTTCCCAATCCTACTCGCATGCGTTACTCTCAGCATGACCGCCATGACCGTGCTATCAAAAGCCCCTCCGACGAACACATCAATAACGGCTGCATTCGCAGGCTTCTTTCTCTCTGCATCTGCGATCACAACACCCTTCATCGCAATCATCACAGTCATGCTCTCGTTCGCATCTGGTGGCACTGGCGATTCCCCTAGCTCTGGTCGAGTCATTGCATGGATCCCGGTTTTTCTCCTAGATTGTGCGTTCGTTCAGCTGATTATCGGAGCGGCTTTGTTTTTTGCGGAAACACAAGCGTGGCAGTTTGCCACTATCATCTGCCTGTGGGCTGGGTTATTATTCCTGGCGACCGTGGGTACAGCTGGATGGATTGCCGTGGAAACCAGATCGTTCAATATTTTTGGGCATGCCATGATTGAGCGCATCGATACAGAGTGGAGGGTCCCAAATCAAGTAGCTGAAGAGGCTGTTTGTTACTCATTGGTTCTTCATGATCGGCCAAGTCAAAATCAGTTAGCATGTACGCAAGTTCAGTTGCGAAAGCGGCATTCGCTTCATGCAAAGTAGCCTGCGTTATCCCTTGGTGACTTGTGTGGGCTTCTGGGAGGCAAGAATCTGAACAAAGGCGGAGAATGTGTAGATGATCATGCGAGCCCTGGCTAGCCTAGCCGGGGCGTGATGGATTATGTATGTATCCTTGCGCTTTTGGTTACTTCCCAGCGTGGGAGTACGCTTGCTGCATATGAATCTGCCATCATCAAGCAGTGGCCGTCGTGATAGATGTGTCGGCAATCCCCCGTAACAGATACGACTGCTGGTTTGGCAATCCGCTCGCTAAACGCACCACCAATACAACTAGATTCCCTCGTTTCGTTCAAAAGAAGTGATTGAAGTTGGAGAGCCTAAATGTGAGAAATGGGCTTTCCTAGTACGGAAAACGCATGTTCAGATCAGATACTACCGGCCGGGTGAGTGATGCCTGGTTCGAGTGTCAAGGCTGCGTCGGCAACAATTGTCGTTTTCGTCGGGAACATCAGGATATGGCGAGAGAGGCTGGCGGGCCTGGATGGAGGTGAATTGGGTAAGTCAACATACCCACTTCCTGGCACCCCCCTGTTTCTGGCACCACAAAAACGATGGGATCACAACCCAACCTCCTCATTACTATTAACTATTGATCCTCAACCACACCCACTACAATACAGCTGCCAGCCTCACTAGGGCATTCAGAGTCGCTGGATTCAGCCGTGATAACCTCCTTTTCACCCGCTTCGATTTGAGCCCGATGGATATCCCTGATGTTCGCGAACTTCGTATTGGGATCG